CATGTTAAACCTATATTTGTAGACTTGAAATTGATTACATATTCTTGAATTATAGCAGAAATAAGGTTGCATCCCAGAAGTTTCTAAAAATATTAATAAATAATACAACATATAATATTATAAAAGAATATAAATTTAACTGATTTTATTTACTCTTGGTAAATCACCAGTCATTATTAAATTTTCAACTTGTCCTAATATGGTATGTCGTGCTTGTCCAGAGTCATTTACACTACCTCTTTTAATTATAATTGCAATAACTTGCAAGATACATCCTTTGACATATGGAGGCAAATTTGGTTTGTTTATAACATAATTTAATAGATAATCTCTTACTGAAGAAATATTTGTTTGTGATAGTGAAGGCCATTCTCGTATTAATGCTATCTTTATTAAACCAACTGCTTCAAATATAATATAATCATTTGTATTAGATTCCAAAATTTGATTACAAAGTTCATAAGGAGATTTAAGTTTTCTAAAATTTAAAAAAACTTCCTCTGCAGAATGACGTTGTTCTGTTGAAATTAAATTTGGTGGTGCCTAAAAAATTATTAAAGTAATTATAAATATAATTATAAATATAAACACAATTATTAAATATTTTAAATAAAAATATATATATATTTTCCTAAACATAATGAAAGATATAAATAAGCATTTTTTAATAATTTTAAATTCAAATAAAATTATATTCTTAAATTATATTATTTATTAAATCAAAATATATATGAAAACATTTTGTATTATTTATATAATTCATTTTATTTACATATAATATAAATTATATATATTTACAGATAATATATATATTTACATTATATAATATATAAAAATATATTAATAAAATTTCATAATAATAAAGTTAATTATAAGAATTATAATTAACAATAATATTTAATTACGTATGTTATGCTTATGTTTCAAAAAAATTTTATATTAAACACATGTACTTGCATTAAATATTTTTTAACATTTAAATACAATATTTATATATATAATCTTTTAAAAATTTAATGAATACATTTATTTATAACCTTCGAAAAAATTGTTTTATTGAATGTATACTTACCAATATTATTTGTGCAGCTTTTTCTAATTCATTTATTAACTGTTCTGCCATTTGTTCAAAAATATTAAAATTTTATAAAATAAAATAATGTTTGTAAACAAATTTGTACAAAAAACAACATTCGTTTAGTACTTCAGTCTGGCACAATTCTCACTAATATAAAACTTACTCAAGCGAATGTATTAAATTGAAATTATTGCGCATGTCTTTAATTTGAAAGTTTACTGTTTAATATATATAATAATTGTATACTGTGTGTAATATCTTCATGAAACTTTAGAAGGATTTAAAGGTTAAAATAAACATAAAAATGTCGGTTAAGACTCTGTTAATTTATAAGGAATTGAAGTTTGCATTAAATAAAATGAGAAATGCAACGACAATATAATAGAGACAAATCGATCTCACTTTATTTCCGACTTAATCCTATAAACTGATTCATGCTTAATTCTGTAAACTAATTCATAATATAAAGTCAATTAGTTATGTGTAAGTTATAAAAAATTTTTATATCAAGTATTTATATTTTATTTTTCATATAAATATAATATATTTATTTTTCTGAATTCTGATTTATTACTTGTAATGTAGAATTAATTAAAAATATATAAGATAAAGCATATTTAAAAAAAAAAATTAATTAAAAATACATTAAATTACAAAGAATAATGAATGTACATAATAATTTGTAATAGAATTTTTATTTATAATTTATAGTTTATAATCATTTTTTTATATTTTTAATAAACATACATATTATGAAATAATAACTATAAGATATATGTTACCATACATAATACAATAATATACAAAAGTTATTTACAATATCGATCTGCTTTCATTTTGCTTCTTCTATCTAATAAAGCTTCATGCAAATTTCCTTCACGTTTTGCTTTTTCTAATTTAGAATTATCCTCTTTACTTATTTTTAATTTTTTATCTTGGAACTTCTGAAATTTCTTTCTAAAATATTGTATTATTTTTTATTTTAATACTTATTAAAAATAAATTCTTATGATACTTTTTTTTGTGTTGTATAACTTACACATAATTCACTTCAACATCATGAAGAGAACCCTGTTCTTCTTTTGGAATATCTTTGTTTGGATCATGTGTCTTTTGTGTTATACTTCTTACAGTACAAAACTCAGAAGATCCAGCAGTCCTACTTTGACAAATAATATCATCTTCATCTGTAACTGACATGAAACAATTGTTGCTATTCAAAATAGCAAGTTTGTTATCCTAAAAGAATCAGATTTTTTTATAAAATATATAAAAAATATATAAACATTTGAAATCATAAAAAGATTATATTTTTGTTTTAGCATAAACAAATTAAATTATAAAATAAATCAAATTAAATTAAATAGATAATTATATAAATTAATAATGTATTCATTTATATATATTAAATACTTAATTATAATATCTATGTACAAAAAACTTAATTAACTTAAATTTACTTTATTTTTAATAATTTTATAGAAAAAATTCAATATGTATTTTATTACATTGTGACAAACATTTACATTGAATAATTACCTGAAATATTGGTTCCCACTGTTCAATCATACCTACTGCATCACTTCTTCCAACAACAATACCTTTTTTATCAACACCTAAATATTTTCCATAACCAGATTTCAATGCAACTTTAGTTTCACCTATTGGAAAAGCTGTTAAAATCTCTTCTGGTGAAGGTCCTTCACCTTCATTATGAGGTGCACCTAAAGTAAATAATCCATTATCTAAAGCTTTCATGTAAATATGATTTCCAAATTCAATTGCTACAGTTCCTGTGACTTCTGACACTTGTGTAGTTTTCCACCAACCACCTATAACATTTACGTATAATTTCATAATAATGATATAAAAATATATATATAATATTATGATAAATACCATGAATTATAGTATCTTTATCTTCTGAAGTAATAATATGTTCCTTCTCTTGTTTTTTCAATTTTCGTTTTTTGTTCTATAAAAAAATAGACAAAAAATTATTTTGTAAATATTGAAATAAATAGGTTAAGTGATATTTATTTATACCTTTTTTTTTCACCTTTCAAAACAAGTTTTCCAGATCTCACTTTATCATATTCTGACATTTTTGCCTTTTTTTTATTTGAATGTAATTTAAGCTTATTAATAATTTTCTAGTTTCAACTATTGTATATAAAATAACAAAATATTTTCATAAATCAAAAAAATTATATTAAATTGTATTATATATACAATTACATACACAAAATTATATATGCAAATATTGCATATAATATACTAAATAATAATATTAATTTAAATTATAACGATTATATTAATGTCACTTTCATATTTTATATTTACCTTCAGACGAACGAAGAAAACAAATATCTAAAATTATATTTTTTACTAGTTATATTTCTTATCTGTATGTTTCCATAGTGTTTCCTAAAATTATAGTAATTAATCGTTCGCTGTGCAAATTTATTTTTTATTAAAATTTATTTATTTATTTATTTGAAATAATTTATGAATTAAATTTATTTTTCACACAATTATACAAATTTTTAATATTAATATTTATTTTACATATGTAATTGTTATTTCTAAAGAAAATAAATTAAATAACAATATATATATATTTATGCAATTTATAGAAGTAAAAGTATAAAAATTGGTATATATTGATAAATATTCAGATTTATCATATGCATAAAATATTATTTCTGAAGTAATTACATAAATAATGAATTGTAAGATACAATTTCAAATATAAGGTGTAATGATTTATACATTACATTAGTGTTTTTTTTAATTTTAAAACTTATTATAATTTATACATTTATAAATGTTATATCATTTACTATATATACATTTGAAATCATAAAAAATAAAAATATTAAATATTATTATTTATATATTTTAATACTAAAAATTACAATATTACAATGAGTCATATTCAAGCGCACAATATAAAAGTGCAAATGCGATATTTTTTAGAGATTCGATTCACATACATATTAAATATGCAGAATATAAAATTCAGTTTGGTTGTTATATTTTAAATAGAATATAAATATATAATTCTTTTTATTAAAATTGAGATTAAAAACGAAGATCATTTCATAAATATCAGATCAAAACATCATACTATCGGGATGTTACAAAATTCGTAAAAATATATGTATACATATTTTATAGATATTATTTTATGAGCATTATAAAATAAAATTAAAACATTTTTATGAAAATTACGATCTATATATGGTAAAATTACATACAAGACTTGAAATATAATTTTATTTTATTCAGTAAGTACCGAATCAGAAAATTAAATTGTGGCACATTTCGAAATGTAATAGTAATAGTAGTAATGACAAATATACTTCATTTTGATTATATAAAAGTTGAATTAGAGTAAATAGAAAAGAATTATATTTGGTTTTATATTGCATTATATTGAATAATTGATTTTGATCAATATTAGGAAATTTCTTGTTAATATTTGACAAATGTAGCATTAAAATATTTTAAATGGAATATTAAGTTTAATATGAAATTCATTCATATATTGTCACAATTTTTAAATTTGAAAATGTTTGCAAATATTTAAATATATATATGTTATGTTAAGATTTTATATAATTATATTAAAAATTTTATAAAAAATTTAAATCAATAAATTAAATAAAAACATATTGTAAATAGTCTTATTTTTTATAGATATTTTTTTTTTGTTACAAAAAAATTGTTACATAAAAATACCTTAATTAAAAAGTTGATTGAATATTATAATTTAATATTTAATAGTAATTTTTTAAATTTTGAATATATTTTTCTTTTTATTGTGATATTATTAATCACAAATGAATTTTTGATATTAATAATATAAATCTTCCTCTTAGTAGAGGAATGAAAATAAGATAAAATAAACTCTTTTTTATTTTGTTTCTTACTTTTTAAAACAAGGTATTCATGACATAAAATTTTTGTTATAGAAGGCACCATATTCGATATCGATATTTTATTTCCAATATTGATCGATATCAAATGTGAACCTTACTTATTGTGCAGTATTATAATCTTATAAAAATCAATTATTGGTACGTCTAGGAATTGGATACCGAAGTACTAAAACGCTGTCTGCTGATATAATTGGTAATACATTGTCACAATGATGATTTACTAAATGACTAACACTATCGAAAACGCGATCTTTTGTGCGAACCTAGAATTGAAATAAATCATATATATTCTTATATTCTTTCCTTTATAAATATATATAAAATTTTTCATAATATTAATTTTCGAAATGCTTACTATGCCTTCTGGATCAATTAGTAATAAATGTTTTGGTGTACTATTATTCATACCAGTAAGAACATATTGTCCAGGCGAACCTTGAGATTCTCTCACTAAAAAGTCACCATCCTATCAAATAGATATAAAGAAATATTATATATTATTGTAATATTTTATAATATAATAATATTATAATATTATATAATACAATATAAATACAAATATTAATACAAAAAAAAAGTTTATTTGATATTTACTCTTGTTAGCATTGATTCTGCTTCAGCACGACTAACGCTACCATGAAACCATATTTCTTGTTTTAATTGTTGCTTTTGAGAATGTGGACTTAATTTATTCATATCTGATATTGCAGAACTGAATGGTTCTATAAAATAATATTCTATATAATATAAACTTATACTATACATTTGAATAGATAAACATATTATATTTTAAATTCCTTACGCATATCAAACACATCGAAAAGTGATGTTTGATCACGTTGACTTTCTCTGGTAGCTGCTATAACACTATCATTTACATAGTTATGTTCAGGAGGAATATTGAAATTTGTTGAAGTTCCATCAGAATTCAGATCAATTAAGTTACCAGTTTCTACAGTTATATCATAAATCATAATAATAATAAAATACATCATAAATTATAATAAAATATAGAAAAATAAATATTACCTGCCCATTGTTGATGATGTCTATCAGAATTGATAGAAAATGTATCATGTAAACCAGAATTTTGTACATTGCTTCGTGACACATGATTTTGAACAGAATGATGATGTTTCAAATTGGGTAAAGTTGATGCTGAAGTTGGTAAAGGTGGAACTGGTGGAGGACCAATATCTGGTGGTACTTTACCTGGCAGATCATTATAATAATCTCTGTCTGCTTCTCGTATACCATTTAATATAGGACTATATCATAAAAAAAGAATATATTAAATAAATTATAAGATAAGATTAATTTTATAACAATTATTTACTATTCATAATTACTGTAATGAAGCTGGTTTTGTAAGAAATTCTTTAAATCGTAATTCAAAAGCTTGTCCAATAGTAGATATAACATCTTGTGCTAGTCCTCCACCACATTCTAATACATAACAAGCACGCCATTCTTGCATATTTTTAGCAACATATGCAACAAAATCCAATATTTCCTACCAAAAAACATAATAATTAATTTATACTTTGTAATTATAATATAATTAATAATTAATAATTGTTAAAATAAATAAAAAATTAATGCTATATTATATATAATTTACCGTATCTCCACCTGAAGCAAAAGATATACGTGGCATTTCATGTTTGGCAATAATATGTCCATTTTCTATATTAGTCAAAGCTAAACTGCAGCTACTAATAGTTAAATTTATTGTAGCACCTGTATGTTCCATGCGAGGTTTATCTGCTATTGCTCTTAACACTTTCCTATCCACCTTTAAATTTAAATTATTAAGAGTTCTAAATTACAATTATAAAAATAAATAATAATTTTAATAATAAAATTAATAATGAATACCCTTCTTTTTTTATCTGCAGATTTTAAACCAGCTGCTTCACAAACTCTGTTTATACATTCTCTAAAAAAATATTAATACAATATAATATATGAATTTATTATATATAAAATTTTCCTACATAGAATAAATATAATTTAAAAATATTTTAAAAACTTACTTGGCAACACAAGATCTTGTTTCAAAATCTAAACTTTTCATAGATGTATATACTTCTAAACATCCTATATACTGAAAATCATATAATATAATAATATTTATCATTTATAAAATTAGTTATAGAATTATTCATTATAAAACATATTTATTATAGAAAAATGAAAACTTACTTTAACAGTATAAGTAATTCCTTCTTTACTCACTAAATGATCAGGGTGTAACCATCCTCTAGCTGGTTTACTTATAAAACTACTACCTCCAGTTGCCATTTCTAAATTCTATACACATATGTATACATTATAACTATAACATAAATATTTTAGATATTATATAAACCATTCAGTTTTTAATTTTCTTAATTTGTTATAATTAAATATAGAAATAATATAGAAAGAATTATTTCAAGCATATGTATGCATGTAATTTTTATTCAAAGTTAATACTGAAATCAATATATCTTTTCAATTAAAAAATGTAAATATATTATATATTGCAAATTTTTGTTATTTATAATACTTGTTATTTTTTAATACTTTAAAATTATAGCAATTTGACAACAATTATTATATAATATAAAAAATATAAATAACATTATTTTATATCAAACTTGAATTAAAATATATTTGTAATAATTAAATATGAATAATTAAAAAATTTGATTAATTAATTAATAAAAAAATTTTTATTACTGTACATATGATTTACCAGGAAATGAGATCATACCTTACAAACGATTACTGGAATCATATGTCTACAATGCAATATTTTACTGATTATGCATACATTTTACTGATTATTTTGTAAAAATCTTTTAATCACTATATAAATTTAAAAATATTAAAATAAATCCGTATTGGTTAGCATTTCTTGCTATACCAAACTTAAAAGATATATTTACTACCTTACAAAATTCCATTAATGCTAAACATAAATTACCGATAATTTAACTATGAAATTTCCTTTATCACCGACTGAACTAATCTACTGGACACAAACAACATACAAAATAGTTTTAACTTCAATGCATTTTTTTATCTCATGCTTCAGAAACACTAAGCTCTCTTACATTTCGTGTCATTCTTTATTACCGACATTACCGATTCAATTCAAAATAAGATAATAACATTAATAATAATTCGAAATGAAACTTATAAAATTATAAATAAGAAATAGAATAAATATTTTATTATTTAAAATAGATCGAATATGATTTGTTAAGATTTTAATTAATAGGCAAAAAAAAACAATAAAATCAATTAGATATAGGATTTGTTTTTTAAGTGTATCAATTTTACAGAACAAAATAGACAAGGGAAATAAATAGTGGAAAAAGGAGAGAGATAGGGTAAAATTTCGGATATTTTCATTTTTAGAGTAAATGAAATAAAAATATAAATAAAGAGAATAAATAGGAGAAGGATAGAAATAAGATAATAATTGATAGTCAACTCCATCTCTTGATAAAGGATATCTTTTCAAAGAATTATCTTTTTAAAAATACTCAACAGATGGTAGTGATTTTTAATTCTTATTCCATTTTATTTTTATTTTTGAAAAAATATCTTTTATATTCAAGAGATGGCGCAGATTATTAATTCTTATTCTATCATTTCCTTTTCTTATCTATATTTGAATTTCATTTACACTCTAAAGATGGTGCTGATTTCTTAATTTTTACTATATCTCTGTTTCTGTTCATTCTCTCATTATTTATTCTTTTTATATTTATTTTATAAAATTTATGCGTGTGAAAGATGATTCTAATATTTGATTAAATTTTATTATTTTTTTTGTCTAACTTATTGATTAAAAATCTTAACAGAGTTTATCCAATTCAATTTTTTACATATATATAGATATGTATTTTTGTATTTTTATATGTTATTAATTTTATTTCAAAAAAATATAAATTTATATACAAAATTATAAATTTTAATTTAAAAAGAATAAAAATATTTATATTGCATAAATAAATATTTAATTTTATTTTATATATCATATTTTTATTTAAGAACATTAAAATATTTTTAAGAAAAGAAAAGAAATTTTAGTATATATTTATTATATATAAGATATATCATAACATTTTAGGCAATGTTTAATCATGTTAAATATGATTTTTTTATTTATTTTTATTAATAAAAACAATAATTTTGAATATAAAATAAAAAATAGGTTAGGTTTAAAAGAGAAGATGTATGTAACTTGTTAATATTGTGAATTCTAAAGTTTCATACTGGAAAGTCATGTATGTAGATATTTGTTTCATTGAAGTGATAATTTTATAATGAATCATTTTTATTATTTATTAATATATAGATATTTGTATATTATTTTATAAAAATACTATGAAAAGAATAAAACTAAAATTAAAAAACCCAAATCCATTATTTGAATGTTGGTTAGAAGAATGGAGAAAAGAAGCTGCATCCAGAAATTCGGATTTGCAATATCATTTTTCGAAAGCACTCGCTGCGCTGAAAAAATATCCCCTGCCATTAAAGTCTGGAAAAGATTGTATAATATTGCAACATTTTGGAAAAAAATTATGTTCGATGTTAGATAGAAAACTCGAAGAATACAAAGCTCAGAATTCAGATTTAATAAATGATTATACTTGTGAATATTGCAACCACAAGGAACAAAATATAGTTAAAAGAAAATGTAAAGTTCAAACAACTACAGATGAAGATTTTGTACATCAACGAGTAAATATATTTATATATTTTTTAAATATAAATATAATTAAATAAATTTATACATTAATAAGGTAAACTTAATTCATCTTTTATTTTAAGACAGAATTAATAACATTTAATAATATAAATTTATTGTCATGGAATATAGAAAATTATGCTGTTTTATTGATTTTATATAAGAAATTTCAAGATTCTTGTTCAGGTATATTTTAAAAAATATTTTTAATTTTTGCATAAATAATTTTTTATTTATAAATAATATACTTATATTTTATTTAATGTTAAAATTTCTTAGAATATGTTACTGAAATAGATTTATTATCTGAAATAGAAGAATTATGTGGTTTTGCAACAAAGACTTCAATTTTAGATTTAGTTGAAAAAAATTTAATTTCCATGATATCTGATCATGAACCAATTAGGTAATGATGATTATCAAATTTGTATATAACATAAATTATTAACTATTAAAAACAATATAATTTGTTTAGGTATAATCTTACAGAACATGGTATAAATGTTTCAAGAAAGATATGTGAAGTTACAAGCATTGATGCAAAATCAATAAATTCTTTTGAAGTATTAAGTAAAATTCAAACATTTTTAGAGACATTGATTATAGAAAATTTAGGACTTCCAACAAATAATTCGGATGAAAATATTGAAAGGGAATGTTCTAAAGATATACAAAATAAAGATTTAAATTTAGAACTTCCAACAAATAAACTAAATATTGATAATACTAAAGTACAAAAAGAATGTTCTAAAAGTACACAGGATAAGGACTCAAATAAATTTTCAAAAATATATAAATCCAAATCTGCAGAATGTATTATTATAGAAAATCATGAAGAGAAATCTGATAAGAATTTTGAAAAGCAAATATCTAAAAGAAATAATGATCTTGTAGAAAATATACAAGAAAAAACAAAAAATTTACAAGATAAAAATCATGTGGATAATTTAGAAAATAAAACAGATTCTATTGATAATTTTCAAAAAAACGTTTATTTAGAATCAAGCAAATTTGATATAATATTATTAGTAGATACTCAAGAAACTTCTGGGTATGTTTCATTTTATTGAATTCTAATTTAATAAAAAAATTAATAAAAAATTTAAAGATATGATTTTAATAATTTTAATATAGTGGTAAGACAAAACCTCAACATGATGATACTATAAAGGAACTAACACAACTTGATGTATTATTTGAAATACGTCATTTAAAAGTTGGTGATTTTGCATGGATTGCTAGATGTAGAAGAAAAAAAATTGAGTTAATTTTACCTTATATAGTGGAAAGAAAACGGATAGATGATTTGAGTGCAAGTATTATAGATGGAAGATTTCATGAACAGAAAGTAATATTATAATGAAATTATATTTATATTTACATATTTTTATATTATTTATAATTAAATATAAAATTATCTTATATAGTACAGACTAAAACAATCTGGAATTACAAATCTCATCTATATAATAGAGGATCATGAGAAGAGCCAAAGATTGGCAATACCATATTCATCTTTGATGCAAGCTTCTATTAATACTCTGATACAAGATGATTTTTCTCTAAAATATACTAAGAACCATAAAGACTCTATGTTTTATTTATCATCATTAACTAGAATTTTAATTAAAACTTTTAAAGTAATATTTCTTTTACAGATTCTGATATTTTAATTTATTTATTAATTTAATTTTAATTATCTCAAAGAAAAAACTTTTCTAGGACAAGAATTTAATAGGTTGCAAAAAAGAAATTATTAAAGAAACAAATGTTAAATTACTTCCTTCAAATATTTCAAATAACATTTATAATCTCATGGAATTTGAGGAATTTAATAAAGCAGCATCTAAACACAAGGTATATAAATGCATATCAAATTTATATGATATATATTTCTCTGATAATTATATTGAAATATTAAATTTTTTAGGTGTTTAAAATAAATGAAATGTTTATCCGCCAATTATTACAATTAAAAGGAATGTCTGTAGATAAAGCTTTAGCAATTGTAGAACATTATCCAACTCCACGATTGCTAATTGATGCTTTACATAACCCTGACTGCAATGGAGAATTGTTATTAGCAAATATTCAATTTGGTAATAGAAAACGTCTTATAGGATCAGCAATTAGTAAAACAATTTATCAATTATATACAAAAAAACATTTTAATTAATGAATGAAATTTTATATAAATAGAACAATTATTAAATATTCTCTAATATTATGTCTGTTTTACATTTTTTTAATTTTTATTATTAACTTTTAATAAGTTGACTTATCAATTATACCAGTCTTTTTTGCGAAATTTATTGTATGTTAAACAATAAATACTTATTTTTTATTTTAGTTTTTTTACAAATATTTTATCTATCATTTGTTTTATTTAAAAATATTTATAGATATATGAATTTCTAATATTATTCTTTATAACATATCAATCTTAATTAGAATAACATCTATTTATTGAGGATACATAAGTAACTTAAGTAATGTGCATGAAATTAATATTAACACATATGTAGTATAAATATAATTGATATCGATTAAATAATTTTTTTATAGTAGTAAGAATTTCATTTACATATATAATAAAATCGCTTTTACAATTAGGAAGCGAAATATCAAATTGTTGATAAATTATAATATTAGAACATATGAATACATATTTTCGTATGTATGAGTAATGAAAATTACTCTCTTAATGATAAAAACATCATGAAATATGACATACATGTTTTAATTGTCTTGAAATTAAAAAATTATAAATTATTAGCTCTCATTTATATTATTATTATAGTGACATATTTTTATTAATTTTACGTACTATTCCGAAACTTTCAATTTTCATTTCGTATAATCCCGCTGCTGTTAATATACATGGTTTATTGGATCTAATTTGCATTATATGAAGCACTTTTTGAACTTTCATTGGTATTTTGTACCATTCAGAATCATATCTATAGTGAAATTCATAAATTTACACTATTTTCAGCTTTCTTTATTATATAAATATAATATAAAAAACTTACATTTTATCAGCCAATTTTGAGCTTTGATTGAGTAACATTTCTCCAGGTAGACTAATAGCATATAAATGAAATTGTTGAGCCATAACGTAAATAATAGCCCTGATAGCTTCTTCAGGTCGATCTAAAAATACAACTATCTAAAAAATAAAGGTATTAATATATTTATTGTCATTTTTTAATAATTATTCATTCAAATAATTTTATTACAAAATATAAATCTGAAAAATCTCTTATTGTAAAAAAAATAAATATAATAAATGTATTCTTACTTCAACACACGTCACGCTAATAATCATTATATTTAATCCCATCTGGATCAAATATAAATTTCTACAACACTTCTCGAGTACATCGTAAAGTCTTGAAATGAGACAAATAAAACTTTTAGTTTGAATTAAATTATTTGTTATTAATTATTAATTTTAAATAATTGGTACAGACTGAAGACATTTATAATGCATTATCACGCATTGTTTGAATTCTTCGTATTCAATGCTGCTTATGTTAGGTCCATTTTTTTCAATGGTATGAATTTTTGTTAATTTTTGAATCTGATATCTGTATGTATTTATAATAACATTATTATTTAAAATTATCAACATTAATAATATCTAACATTAATAAATACAGGTATATTCAAGTTATAAAAGAGATATAAGTTATATATTTATTTTTTCATTATACGTTGTTTAATACCACGTTGAATAATATTTACCCACATGCTGCAAACAATCCACAAGCATGGTAAATAATAGAAATGTATAACGAATCTACTGAGATTATTATTATCACAATAATAGCCGCAGAACAAGATAAATGCACATACACAATATAAAAATATTCATAATTGTCTAGAATTATGTAATTAACATTAAATATATTTTGTCGTGGTCGGGTTTCATTTAACGGTAAAATAATATCCAGAATGGGATTACATAAAGGAAGAGAGAGAAATATTACGAGAAAAGTTAATAAACTTTCTGAAAGAAATATTTTTGTTATTGTATATTGAATTAATATTATGTAAAATACGTATGAGAAATTACTCCTATGATCACTTACTCCTGTACAGGAGTGCAAGTTTACTACCATATTGAGTAAATTTGTCTAGCATGATTAATTCTTCTTTTGATTCTAATGATTTCCAATCTTGCGCCAAAGAGTAAAATAATTTTTTAAACTATAATATATTTAATTATTATGTATATATAATTGCAAATTTTTTCTATAAAATGATTTTTTTACCTGCATTTTGTTAGAATAGATGTTTAATATTTTTATCATGCTGATAATTACTGTAATTACTTGAGGTATATTCTGAATGATGTTATCGAAATCCTTATTACTTATAGCCTCCCATAATTGTATAGACTATCAAATCGTGAATTCCAATCGTGTAACAATATTACCTGATTATTTGCTTTATTTAAAGATTGTTAATTGCGAGATATTTTCTCACATTACTTTTTCTTATTTTTTTATTCATTAATTAATAATTATTAAAAAATGATATAATATGTTTGTCTTACCGTTGGACAAAGAAAGCTCATGCAAACGGAGATTATCATGATTATTATAATTATACTAATATTATTATTTTGATACGGATTTATTCCACAGATCGTTAAATATAATTTGAGCGTTTTATAATATGCAATATCGAATGCGTTATATTCTTGTTCGTTATTTTTCTGTAACACTGAACATTGTCATTTAAATTAAAAATTTTATTTAATCATTTACAAAAAAAAGATAACTGTTTAATATTGAGAAAAATTATATATCATAATAAAATAAAATATTTCAACTCAATTCCAATGCGATTTCTCGAACGAATAAAATGTTTATAATATCGAATAGCTAAAGTTACCATAAAAATTATGATATACTATTCATTTTTCTCTTACTATTTAGATTTACGAATTTTTGAAACAGGAAAACTATTCAGGAAATCTATTGCAATCAATGTGGCAGCACACTGTTGATAAAACTGTTTCGATAAAAAGTTTCGTCTAAGCTCTTTTTTATAGAACCATAGAAAATAGGAATTATTGAAATTTGTTCCATGTACACTCAAATTATTTACATTTATAATTAATTCAACATTCCGTATCGATGAAAACGTGCAATTTTCATTGTACAGGTATGTATTAAGATATCGTTTTTAAAGTATGATATTATTACTTCGTAGATAAGAAAATAATAGCAGTGTCTAAGGCTCAATCAATCAATTGTGTTGGAAATCAATGACTGTGATTACTTTAAAATATTGATCTCGATAATTGAAATATAATGTTAGCGAAAATTTTTCAATCAAAATCTTTGAAGTCTTTTGAATTTTTAAACAAAAACTATGTAATACGTTTTCATCCAAGATAAATTTCATTTACTGTGTGGTAGATATTCGTGTTATACATTGTTATACATAAACTAAACTATTATGACAATAGTATGATAATAGATATAAAAATAAAACATTATAATTGATAATTGCAAATCAATGTTGTTGTTGAGAAACTCAAATAATATTCGAAAATATGTGCAAAAAATATTCCAAAGAAGATCCTTCAAAAAAGTTTTTAAAGGACGTGAAAAATATATCAAATAAAAATTGTACTTATTGAGAAAAATATTATAAAATGTGAATTATATATCTATATATAATAATTTTTTCAATTTTAATTTAAAAAATTTTTGGAAAAAAGAAAATAAAACAAGAATGTTATTATCTTGTAAGAATAATTACATAATGATTTTAATTAAATTATATTCATTTAACATATATTTGGGTAAGTTTTGTAATACAATTTATTATAATTTATTATTAAAATACTATCCATATCGTATAGAAAATATGATTAAATAACTTTAAAAAAAATCATTTTAACTTTTCAACAATATATATATTAACAATACATATTTGTTCTACTATTCTTGATCTAGATACAAAATGAAGTCATGAACTAAATATTTTCGACGTATTATGTATACTCATTTCTTTAGTGACATTAACATCGTGAAATATGACATGCAAGTTTTAAACGTCTTAAAATAATAATGATCGTATAAATGTTAATAAATATAAAGTTATAAGTAATAATTCTATAATTATTACATACTATTCCGAAATTTTCCATATTCATTTCGTACAATCCGCCCGCTGTCAATGAACACGGCTTTTTACTCCTTATTTGCATCATGTGGAGTACTTTCTGAATTTTTACTGGTATTCCATACCATGTAGAGCTATATCTGTTATATTATATCAAAAAAAGTAAAAGAAAAAAGATTATACATATATGATTATACATCTACGATTGTATGTATACATACGTAAACACATACATATTATTTGCCAATTCTGTACAATGATCCAAAAGTACCTGTCCAGGTAAACTAATTACAAACAAATGAAATTGCTCAGCTCCAAGAAATACAGCAGTTCTAATCGCTTCTTCCGGTCTATCTAGATTTACGACTGTCTGAAAAATAAAACTATTCATTAGATAAGATTTTTTTCTTATTCTTTAATTTCTTTTCGTTCTCTTTAGATTTTTTTCTTTACTTGGACAGCTGTCACGCTTATACCCATCATATTTAATCCAACCTGAATTAAATAACTATTTCGACTGCTCTCGTTCAGAATATTATAAAACCTCAAAATGTGACGAAAAAAACTAATTAGTCGGGTTCAAGAAGAAGTATTTGACAATATATTAATTAATATGAATTGTGTATAATTTGAGAAATACAAACTGAATGGCTTTATCGTGAGTGGTTATGCAATTTTTAAGCTGTTCATACGTGTAATTTTCTGAAATAATTCTGTCATTGAATAGATTCGGATATCTGGTCGCTTCTTGAACTTTATACCTGTATGTGTACGATAAGATTTAGAAAAAGTAAATATAAATTTAAATAGAGATTAGTGGATATTACGTTATTTACCCACACATCGCAAACATTCCGCTGCTGTGATGAATTATAATCATGTACAATGAATCTATAGTAACTATGATCATCACAACAATGACAGATCCCCAAGCTAACTGCAAATATATGTAAAAAAAATAGTCATTATGGTTAAAGATCAAATAATTAACTCTAAATAATTGCTGTCTCGATCGAGTTTCGTTTAATGGATGAACAATATCCAGAAGAGGAAAGATCAGTGGTACGAGTAAAAATAATACCATGAAGGATAACAATGTATCTGAAAAGATAAAAGATAAAAGATCCACTTATTTGCCAATTTTTTTTTCTAAATTACATAAATAACTAAGAATCAAGAGAGAAAAGATTAAAATGCAAAAACTTACTTCGATACAACTGTGCCATTTTACTACCTTTTATGGTGATTTCTTCGAGAACATGAAATTGATTATTTAACTCAAACTTTTCCCATTCTTTTGTTATAAATTCAAACAATTTTTTAAACTATAACGCAATACATGTTCAGTTAAGATGTGAATTTGAAACACTTAAAAAAAATTAAGTTGAATGATATTAATTTCACGTACATTTTCCCTGTTGAAATGAATATTCAGAAGTTTAACGACACTCGTTGCAGCCGCGATCAAATGGGGCAGACACTCGATCACTGCGTCCATATTTTTATCACATAATGACGTGTATAATTCTAATGACTAATGAATTCCAGGTCCCGATCGTTTAACAACATTACCTGATTACTTACTTTATTTCGTAGAATTCATTCAATTTAATTTTTACGTTTCACCTAAAGAATATTTCTAAACTATTCAATATAACATTCTTACCGTTGGAATAAGAATGCCAGAAATACTAGTCACCATTGCAATTACAATAATATTTCTGAATCCGTCTCTTTGGCGTGGATCTTGTCCCAAAAATTTCATGTATTTCTCGAGCAGTTTATAATAAGGAATATCAAATATATTGGTACATTTATTTCTGGTCTTCTGAAATACTGAATAACTTAAATTTAATATATTTTTAAAAGTTATTTAATTTGTTGACATATTTCAGATGTATTTCAAAAAAGTGATTGGTGTAATATTAAAAGTGAAAATTTTCATTTATAAAAAGTTAAATATCTTAATCTTTTCTAGGTATAAATTTTATCTTCTTCTCTTACCGTCCATATTTTCAGGTATGCAACTGATACAGAAACGATATCAAGAGGATGAACGTCTTTCTTTTCGAAATGAAAGAAATCAATTTGATGAATGCAATTATACTAGACATTTGATGATATATGACTCGATGCGTGTAACCAGTTATTAAGCATAATTTTGAATCTTATACGACAAGTACGCATCATTACCCATTTAAATTAATCGACGTTGGGTATAATTGTATCGTAGATAAGAAAATGATAGTTCTCTACGGTTATATTGGCGTCTGCCACTTATACTGAAAATCGAACATCTATGATTATCCTGAAATATTGATTGCTATGGCTGCGCTATACAATATGGCATTCGTTAAACAATTGGTAACAGACAAAAAGATTTTCAAATTACTGTGTATTGAAATTATTAAATTCTAAAAGAAAAAAAAAAAAATCATTGTATCTCTGCTTGCAATGTGTTTCAATAATATTAACTTTTTCTACTTCTAGGTGTGGACTCTCTTTGTCAAAAACAGTGGAACATTGTTATTTGCGAAATGTGGATAATATAGAGAGTTTTACAAAAATATTTGTAAAATATATTTATCCTCATTCACGTTGTTGTATCATTTTTCCTTGTTAAAATTTTACAATTTTATTCGTGGTTCTTTATTAATGGAATGAAAAAATTTTGTGAAAAAAATGATAATTATTTTGGTAAGATCAACAGATCAATTTTTTATCCAAAAAATTTGAAGATTGGAGATTCCTGAGGTAATTTCAAGCAACATTTTTCTTTGCAACAACATTGTTAATTATATTTATTACTATTCACATCCTTATTAATTTGGATAAAAAATATAATATATTTAATCGTAATATATTTTCGATATAAATAACGTAGAATTTCATTATTTCAGCGACATTATCATTGTGAAATACGACATGCACGTTTTAAACGTCTTGAAAAGAAAAAGATTGTAAGTAATAATTGATATAATACAATTATTTTAATTTTATATTCATACGTACTATTCCGAAATTTTCTATAAAGAAAAAAGATTATACATATATGATTATACATCTACGATTGTATGTATACATACGTAAACACATACATATTATTTGCCAATTCTGTACAATGATCCAAAAGTACCTGTCCAGGTAAACTAATTACAAACAAATGAAATTGCTCAGCTCCAAGAAATACAGCAGTTCTAATCGCTTCTTCCGGTCTATCTAGATTTACGACTGTCTGAAAAATAAAACTATTCATTAGATAAGATTTTTTTCTTATTCTTTAATTTCTTTTCGTTCTCTTTAGATTTTTTTCTTTACTTGGACAGCTGTCACGCTTATACCCATCATATTTAATCCAACCTGAATTAAATAACTATTTCGACTGCTCTCGTTCAGAATATTATAAAACCTCAAAATGTGACGAAAAAAACTAATTAGTCGGGTTCAAGAAGAAGTATTTGACAATATATTAATTAATATGAATTGTGTATAATTTGAGAAATACAAACTGAATGGCTTTATCGTGAGTGGTTATGCAATTTTTAAGCTGTTCATACGTGTAATTTTCTGAAATAATTCTGTCATTGAATAGATTCGGATATCTGGTCGCTTCTTGAACTTTATACCTGTATGTGTACGATAAGATTTAGAAAAAGTAAATATAAATTTAAATAGAGATTAGTGGATATTACGTTATTTACCCACACATCGCAAACATTCCGCTGCTGTGATGAATTATAATCATGTACAATGAATCTATAGTAACTATGATCATCACAACAATGACAGATCCCCAAGCTAACTGCAAATATATGTAAAAAAAATAGTCATTATGGTTAAAGATCAAATAATTAACTCTAAATAATTGCTGTCTCGATCGAGTTTCGTTTAATGGATGAACAATATCCAGAAGAGGAAAGATCAGTGGTACGAGTAAAAATAATACCATGAAGGATAACAATGTATCTGAAAAGATAAAAGATAAAAGATCCACTTATTTGCCAATTTTTTTTTTCTAAATTACATAAATAACTAAGAATCAAGAGAGAAAAGATTAAAATGCAAAAACTTACTTCGATACAACTGTGCCATTTTACTACCTTTTATGGTGATTTCTTCGAGAACATGAAATTGATTATTTAACTCAAACTTTTCCCATTCTTTTGTTATAAATTCAAACAATTTTTTAAACTATAACGCAATACATGTTCAGTTAAGATGTGAATTTGAAACACTTAAAAAAATTAAGTTGAATGATATTAATTTCACGTACATTTTCCCTGTTGAAATGAATATTCAGAAGTTTAACGACACTCGTTGCAGCCGCGATCAAATGGGGCAGACACTCGATCACTGCGTCCATATTTTTATCACATAATGACGTGTATAATTCTAATGACTAATGAATTCCAGGTCCCGATCGTTTAACAACATTACCTGATTACTTACTTTATTTCGTAGAATTCATTCAATTTAATTTTACGTTTCACCTAAAGAATATTTCTAAACTATTCAATATAACATTCTTACCGTTGGAATAAGAATGCCAGAAATACTAGTCACCATTGCAATTACAATAATATTTCTGAATCCGTCTCTTTGGCGTGGATCTTGTCCCAAAAATTTCATGTATTTCTCGAGCAGTTTATAATAAGGAATATCAAATATATTGGTACATTTATTTCTGGTCTTCTGAAATACTGAATAACTTAAATTTAAATATATTTTTAAAAGTTATTTAATTTGTTGACATATTTCAGATGTATTTCAAAAAAGTGATTGGTGTAATATTAAAAGTGAAAATTTTCATTTATAAAAAGTTAAATATCTTAATCTTTTCTAGGTATAAATTTTATCTTCTTCTCTTACCGTCCATATTTTCAGGTATGCAACTGATACAGAAACGATATCAAGAGGATGAACGTCTTTCTTTTCGAAATGAAAGAAATCAATTTGATGAATGCAATTATACTAGACATTTGATGATATATGACTCGATGCGTGTAACCAGTTATTAAGCATAATTTTGAATCTTATACGACAAGTACGCATCATTACCCATTTAAATTAATCGACGTTGGGTATAATTGTATCGTAGATAAGAAAATGATAGTTCTCTACGGTTATATTGGCGTCTGCCACTTATACTGAAAATCGAACATCTATGATTATCCTGAAATATTGATTGCTATGGCTGCGCTATACAATATGGCATTCGTTAAACAATTGGTAACAGACAAAAAGATTTTCAAATTACTGTGTATTGAAATTATTAAATTCTAAAAGAAAAAAAAAAAAAATACATTGTATCTCTGCTTGCAATGTGTTTCAATAATATTAACTTTTTCTACTTCTAGGTGTGGACTCTCTTTGTCAAAAACAGTGGAACATTGTTATTTGCGAAATGTGGATAATATAGAGAGTTTTACAAAAATATTTGTAAAATATATTTATCCTCATTCACGTTGTTGTATCATTTTTCCTTGTTAAAATTTTACAATTTTATTCGTGGTTCTTTATTAATGGAATGAAAAAATTTTGTGAAAAAAATGATAATTATTTTGGTAAGATCAACAGATCAATTTTTTATCCAAAAAATTTGAAGATTGGAGATTCCTGAGGTAATTTCAAGCAACATTTTTCTTTGCAACAACATTGTTAATTATATTTATTACTATTCACATCCTTATTTAATTTGGATAAAAAATATAATATATTTAATCGTAATATATTTTCGATATAAATAACGTAGAATTTCATTATTTCAGCGACATTATCATTGTGAAATACGACATGCACGTTTTAAACGTCTTGAAAAGAAAAAGATTGTAAGTAATAATTGATATAATACAATTATTTTAATTTTATATTCATACGTACTATTCCGAAATTTTCTATATTCATTTCATACAATCCTCCTGCCGACAACGTACATAATTTCTTACTTCTTATTTGCATTACGTAGAGTACTTTTTGAATCCGTACAGGTGCTCTATACCATATGGAACTGTATCTGTTATAATATCATTACATTAATACTTGTTACTGTTAGAATAATTTGATATTTATATTTTTGCATGGAATGAACACGTACATATTATTTGAAAACTCAGAGCAATGATCCAAGAGTACTTGTCCAGGTAAACTGAGTACGAATAAATGGAATTGATTAGCCCCGCAGAATACAGCGCTTCTAATTGCTTCCTCTGGTCTATCCAAATTTACGACTGCCTGTAAAATATTGTACGTATATTGATAATATTTTCTAGATTGTTTGATTTTATTGATTAAATTGATTTTTACTTGAACAGCTGTCGCGCTTATGGCCAACATATTTAATCCAACTTGAATAAGATAACTGTTTCGATTACTTTCATTCAGAATATTATAGAACCTCAAAATTATAACGTATGAATGAATTAATTATTTTTACATTATTATTTGAAACGTGTATTTTATTGTTATTTGATAAATACAAACTGGATGGCTTCATCGTGCATGATCACGCAATTCTTGATTTGTTCGTACGTATAATTATTTAAAACAGTTCCATTAAACGATTTCGCATTCTTTATTACTTTTTGCACTTGGTACCTGTATTTATAATGAGAAATATTTTTTAAAAAAAATATAACATTATTATATATTTATATGTTTTTTGTAGCATGATCATATTTACCCGCAAACTGTAAATAATCCGCTGCAGTGATGAATTATAAGAATCAATAATGAATCTACGGCAACTGAAGTCACCACAACTATAATTGATCCCCAAGCAAGTTGCAAATATACGTAGAAAAAATAATCGTCATCGTTAAAAAATAAATAATTAACTTTGAGAAGTTGTTGTCGCGATCGAGTTTCATTTAGTGGAAGAAATACATCTAATGTAGGAGAAATTAATGGAATCAATAAGAACAATACTAAAGCTGTTAATAGTGCACCTAAAAAGTATATACTTAATAATTTACAAAATTTACAAGATATTAATAAAAATGGTGTTATTTAATAATTATGCTAGTTAAAAGCAAAATTCATCAACTTCGAATTAAAAATTCGAATTAATTAATTCTAATTCAATATCAAACATATATCTAATTTTTTCAAAATAATTTGTCAGAAATTAAATAATTAAACTTGACAGCATTTACGATGAATTTTGCTTCTGTACAATTTTGTACAATTCACAAATTAAAAATCTAGAAAATTATAATGTACTGCGATATAAATGCGCTGTTTTGTTTCCTCGTATGATAGTTTTATCGAGAACATGCAATTCATTATTTAATTTCAGCTTGTCCCACTCATTTGTCACAAATTGAAATAATTTATCGAACTAGAAAATAATATATTTTTTAAAAAATATATTATTCTAAAAAAATTCTTTTGTATAATTAAAAAATTACTTACGTTTTCTCTATAGAAATATATATTTAATATTTTTACAGCGCTAATGGTAGCTGCGATGAAATGTGGTAAACCCTCGATCACTGCGTCCATATTCTTGTCACATAACGACGTATATAACTCTATTGACTAATGATTACAAGTTTCAATTGTTTAACGTTACCTTTATTATGTAGAATTCACTCGATTCACTTTCACATTCATTTCTATAAAATGTTCAACGTGATTTCCTTACCGTTGGAACAATATTGCCTGAAATACTAATCACCACCACTGTTACTATAAAATTTCTGAATTCATTCTTTAAACGCGGATCTTGTCCCAAAAGTTGAAAATATTTCTCGACCATTTTATAATAAGGAATGTCAAATATATCGGGACACTGTCTTCCGGTTTTCTGAAATACTAAATGTCTTAAATTTAAATTAATTTCACTATAATTCGTAATTGAGTTATTTTAAATGTCAGAAGTATAATTAATATAAAATTAATAACGTTATTTAAAACAATAATTAGGAAACTAAAAAAAAAAAAAAAAAAAAAGAAAACAAAATTATTTTGTTATATTCTGCTCTGTTTTTTTTTCTTACTATTCATATTTCTAAGTTCATAACTTGAAACTAATCTGAAAGACTGAATGTTATTTTTTTTCTTTAAGTCAATTTGACGAATGTAAATCTAAAATTATGTTTCGATGATTCGATAGTATACGGTAGTATATAATTGTAGAATAGCAATATCGATAATAACATATAAGTATGTAAAATTGCAGAAATAACATATGACTGCAAATCAGTCACTTATCAATTCATATTATAGAATAATTTTTAAACTATGACATTGTCTACAGACTCTGTATTGCAGACAAGAAAATAGCTTGATAATTGATGTCCGGCAGTTAACTTTGGAAAGAAGATCTATGATTATACTAAAATATTGATTACGCTTGTTACAGTATGAAGTTTACTACTACGTACAATGACAGAAGATTTTCCAATAATTTTCCACTTAAATTTGACGAACGAATTCTTAAAAAATAAATTTATTCGCAGTATGTATTTGTTCTCGGTGTTTTCAATAACAATATCTACTGCCGATGATTCTCATTTCGTTTCGAAGAAAATGTATATAAACTTTGTTCTTTCAGATTTCGTTAAAATTATTAATTATAATATATTTTTATGATAATATTCAATCTCATGAAAATTCAATTATAATTAATCAATATCAATAATATTAAAATATTAAATTCGAATATATGATTGTTATAAATATATTCAACATATAAATGATTATACTAAATACATACATATTATTTTCAAATTCAGCAGAAAGATCCAGAAGTATCTGTCCAGGTAAGCTAAATAGAAATAATTGGAATTGATTAACTTAAACAAAATAAAAAATTCTGTATTGCTTGTTCCAGGTCTATTTAAATTCTAATATAATAATAAACCGTTAGCTGAAAAATCAAGAAATTGATTATACAGAAGTTTTTTTTTTCCAACTTCTATCGATTATCATTTACAGAATTGTCTTTACTTGAACAGCTGTCGAATTTATGCGAAACATAATAGTTAATCCAACCTTAATCAGGTAACTACTTTTACTACTGTCATTTATAATGTTGTAGAACCTCAAAATGGAACGAAATAATGTTAGTCATTAATAATTAAATGATAATGTATTTTATTATTTTTGTATACGAACCATATGGCTTCGTTATGCGTAATCATGCAATCCTTGAATTTTTTATAAGTATAACTTGTGGAAATAATTTCGTCAATCGAAGAATTTGATTTTGTTGTTGCTTTTTTGATTTGATATTTATATTTAATTACAATAATTTAAGACAGAATAAGAGAAATGATTTCAAAGCATTTACGTGAAATTTTGTTGTAGAAATATGTTCAAAATGTACATTCAATAAAATGCAAAATATCCAAAGAAAAATATTGATTATAGTATTTAAAATTGCAATGGATAATATATATAATTTTAAAAAACTTTATGGATCAATATTTACTTTATATCATTTTGATTAAAATAAAAAAAATTTTTTCGTAATTCACTGAAAGTGGAATGACGCTATGAAATATTAGTCAATTCATTATTTTCGTAAGATCTGTAATATCCTTTATACATTACAATATTACAATATTTTATTCATTTGCAACATTTGTCTTTTTGATAAAGTTTTTTATACTATTTAATATTAATAATGTACATGTTAATTATTTCTACTACTATTCGTATCCTCAATTAATCTGGACAGAGAGTATAACAAGATTTAGTTGTATATTTTCCAAATATCGTAGAATCATTATTTCAACGACATTATCATCGTGAAGTATGACATACACGTTTTAAAAGTCTTGAAATAAAATTAAATAATAATTAACAAAATATGTATTATTATAATATTTTTATCATATATTACATACTATTCCGAAGTTTTCGATATTCATATCATACAATCCACCTGCAGTTAATGCACATAATTTTTTACTTCTTATTTGCATCATATAAAGCATTTTTTGAATTTCCAATGATGTTCCATACCACGTGGAACCATATCTGTTTTAATATCGGTCAAACAATAAATTCCAGTTACCGATTATTATAATTATTTAGTATATTAAATACATACATAGCATTTGCAAAATCAGCACAATGATCCAAAAGCATTTGTCCAGGTAGACTGAGTAAAAATAAATGAAATTGATTAGCTCCAAAAAATACAGCACTTCTAATTGCTACATCCGGTCTGTCTAAATTTATAACTGTCTGAAAGATAAAAGTAATTAATTAAATAAAACTTTCTACAGTTTGTATGTATCGTTATATATTATAATTATATTTACTTGAACGGCTGTCGTACTCATACCCAACATATTTAATCCAACCTGAATTAAGTAACTATACTGACAGTTTTCATTCAAAATATTATAAAACCTCGAAGTGCAATGAAAAAAGCAATTTAATGCGATAATTATTTGCTAGTATATCATAGTTTAATATTAATTAATGAATACGCACTCTATAACTTCGTTATGCATGATTACACAAGCTCTAAATTTTTCATACGACGAGTTCTCAGAAAACGCATCTTTAGAAACTAAATTCGAATTCATCGTTGCTTCTAAAACTTGGACTCTGTATTTATGAAAAAATTAACAGCGAAAATCACGAGATTTATCATAAGAAGATTTGTACTATTTCGAATAATTTTATGTTTATTTGCATTACGATATATACCCACACACCGCAAACAATCCGCTATTAAAATGGATTATAAGAATGTAGAACCAGTCAGCAGCGATAATTGTCAGTACGACAATAATTGATCCCCAAGCTAATTGTAAGTATACGTAAAAAAAATAGTTATCAGTGTCGAAAATGATATAGTTAACTCTGAGTAGTTGTTGTCGAG